GCTACAAAATGAAAATATGAATTATTTGTTAACAGTAAGATGCAATAAAATGACAGCATTTTGTCAATGGCTTGGTTTCTAATCCATTTAGTTATTCCTTTACATGAATTGCATTTGGTTACCTTTTGTTTGATTGACAGCTTGGCTTTGAATCTACAGACTGTCCCGCCCCTCCCATCCAGTCACAGGGGTCACTCAGCGCATGCGTGTGGACCCTCATAAAGCCTGCTGACCTCAGCCTGCCACGATACCAGCTACACGCATACGCGCCCAAACACCTTCACGTACGCCGCCGCAATACACCAAAGTTCAACATCATCTGTATTCATAGCCTGGCTAAATATTGAAAATTATTCCGCTGCTCCCAAACACACACTTATGAATTTTTCATGAGTCAGTAAACAGATGGGTGGCAGTAAAGATGCGGGAGGGGTCAGGGAGGACACACACCTTCTACTCTAAACACACACACACACAGAGAGATATAAACCACCTCTAAAGAAAAAGGCTGAGCACCTTGCTGAGCAAAATAAAAAAAAAACTGAATACAGTCTCTCATCTATGCCTCCCTAATATATCTCTAATATCCATTCTCAAAACAACATCGTTTTTGGAAGAAAAAATACACACACACACACACACACTTTCTCTTTTAAACACTTATAAAACATGACTCACCTTTTTCTGTGAGGCCAAATTCAATGTTTCCCAAGTTCTCATTGAAACACCTAAAAGAAGTCAATGAAGGGTCAAAAAAAGTTTCTGCAGGGCTTCTCTGTTTATAGTTTAAAAGTAAATTTTTATTCTTTGAGAACTCCTTGCAAGAGGTTTGCTGTAATGTTTCCTCCTCCATCTCTTCCCGCGCTTCCTGGGAATTCTTCTTCTTCGACCTCATCCCTTGCAGAATCGCATGCCCTCCTAAAAACAGCCAACAAACAATGTCAAAAAACAACTTACGATAAATTATAGCATTGAAAAAGAAGCTCATTCCACTTAAATTAGACACTTGGAAATAAATTAACTTTGCCCTTTATCCCAGTTTCCATAAACATTCAGAATTAATGCTGACATTGCACTGAATCATTTCAATGCATTTTATACCATACACTTTCATAGCCTGTCAAAATAATAATTGATGAAATAAAATAAAATTATAAATATTATAATGAAAATAAATAAATATAAATAATTACACATAAAATGATTACAAAATTAAATCAACTTTCCACTATACAGTATGTTATCCTATTTTCCACAAACATTTAAAATTTATAATCGTAGACTGTTGTAATAATATTTGATAAAACATGATAATACAATAAAAATAAGCTAAAATATAAATAATAACATTATACATAAAAATGATTACAAATAAATTCATGTTCCACTATATTTTTCCAAAAGCATTTAAAATTGATTCTCACATTGTCAAATGAAGCATTTCAATGCATTTTATCCCATATATAATTGTAGCCTGTCAATACTTCATCTGTCAATAAAAAAAAATAAGAATACACATAATAAATAATATATGATGCATAAAAAAATAAAAAAATAAAAAAATAAATAAAAATAAAATAAAATAAAATAAAATAAAATAAAATAAAATAAAATAAAATAAAATAAAATAAAATAAAATAAAATAAAATAAAATAAAATAAAATAAAATAAAATAAAATAAAATAAAATAAAATAAAATAAAATAAAATAAAATAAAATAAAATAAAATAAAATAAAATAAAATAAAATAAAATAAAAAAGTGTTTTGTATGCTATGGGCTGTGAACATTGTACAGGTAGTATGCCCAGTACCTTGAAAATCTTTTGTTCGGAATATATGGCTCCAAGTGGCAGGAAATCTATTTTAAAAGTGTTTTTAAAGAAAAATATATATATAATAATCTCTA